CAAAAGCTATGCCTGCCTGCGTTAATTCACTAGCAGACACCAATGGCAGTCTGCAATGGACTTCTTCCAGTACACACTTGCAAATTAATTGTAATCATTGCTGAGAGACTCTTGAGCACCAGGCCATGCTAGAGACTCAACAGTTGCCACTGATGCCTAGGATTTTAGATCTCCTCCTTCCCACAGCAACAGCACCTGATCTTTCCTTGGCTGGGCTTGCATGATGGATGCATCTTCACCCTCATTGACCACTAGAGCCAGACATGTTAGAGGATAGTCATACAGCTGCAGCATAAGCCAAACAGGTCTACAGTATTGTAGCCCAGCATGCTGTAAGTTCTTCCACAGATGTATTGGTAGGCAAATGCTTTGTTCTTCAGCATTTCTACTTTTCTAATTTGTAATATACACTTTTCTAATTTGGGTGGAGAGACTATGCAAAAACCACATGGCTATTCTGAAAAGGGATCGACAGGTCCACCTATCACTCATCTAGGCCATTTTTGCATGTATTTGTTCATAATGTCTATTTCATCCTCTTTCCATATATTTTTAAGAAATCTGCACATAGATTTGTATTTAAATAGGCATTTTTCTCCCAAAGCATGCTTTGTTAAATGTGTTTCATTCATTTCTCAAACTGGAAACGGCATCGCCTATCCTCCCCCTCCAAGCTGTTCTGGGTGTTTTCTTGACACACACACACACACAGAGAGAGAGAGAGAGAGAGAGAGAGAGAGAGAGAGAGAGATAAGGTTGGTGTCAGGAGTGGAGAGAGGGAAAACCCTGTTGAGATAGCTGAAGTTCTTGTGTGGGCTTCCATTAGTGGGTCTTGTTAGCTGAATCCAGCTCTCTGCTTTATCCTACTCTGTGCACGTAACTATTTGTTTCCAAAGGATATATCCTACACAAATAGGTGCATATAAGAACACTCTATTCACACTTGGAGTTGGGCATATGCTCATACAAAGATGATCATCAGCTGTGCTGCTGTGTTTTAATGCCAGGAAGTCAACCCAGATGATGTCTTACCTAAGCCAAGTTAATTATGAGTAGAGCATCTCATAAAATTAGTCCATTCCTGTCCTGTACTCTGCTATCCACACCTGCTAGTATCAATGGCTTATTTTTGAACATGTACTGGTAGTTACTTTTGGACAATTTCATTAATATACACAGGCCCAGAAGCAGATACCAAATCTTGTAGCCTATACAAGCTGCAAGTTGTTTTTTCTTTTAATTTTATTTTACTATAATTGCATTATTGTAATTGTATATCTCCTTATTGCTGGGTATATTGGATTCATCTATGTTTGCCCTCTCTCTAGAACACTTTAATGTACTTAGTAATATACATTTTGCGCAATTCAATAGCATTTTCTTTTTTAAAATTTATTTTGACTAGTTTCTCACAGACAATGTATGGTAATTTTTGGCATTTTATTCATGAAATTCATTGCTGCTCAGAGAACATTACTTTCCCCTGGCCTACTTAGATTACCTTATCAAATTTGTGGTACTTCAAGTAGGATTAATATCATTAATCTGAACGGCAATTTTCCTTCGGTTCTGGGCTACTCCTAAAACAAGCATTAATCAGAATACCTGTAAGATTCAAATTTGATTTCCCCCTCCCCCCCGCAAATTCCGTTTTTGTTCATCTAAATATTTAATCCACTAATAATATAAATTGTTTTTAATAGAAAACATGACATTTATCCAGCCTCTCCACATTCCCCGCATTCTAATATTACATTGAGTCTGAGGTTTTTCTCATGGACAGAGGTGTGTTGTCATGCTCACAAAATACTACAGCTGATAAAACCTGACAACTCTTTTATTAATGGAACAAATACAGGGCTAATAGTAGTTATTCATAATCAATACATATTTCAGCAGGGAATTTACTCATTGCCATGTGATGCTGGCATTCAATACGAATAGTAAGTGAATAGTCTTGCTATTGAATATTCACTTACTATTTAAATAGTAAAGTGGGGGAGGTGGCATATGCCAACACAAGCTCAGGAAGGAATGTAAAGGCAACTGGGGTACTCTTAGGAGATGGGAGAACAGAAAAAGCTGGCCAGGGGTACAGGTAACAATTCCTATTAGGGAGCCCGCTAGTGAAGACCATACATTTTTATGGTAAATAAAAGTGTACCAGCTGAATCCCAAACTATAACTTCCTTATCTTGACTCAGGCTCAAAAACCATACATCCACCACCCACCTGCATAGTTCTAGAGCAGCCTTCAGTAACCTCCAGAAATCTTGGGCTACAATTCCCATCAGCCTCAGCCAACACTGCTGATGGGAGTCATAGCCCCAAACATTCTGGAGGGCACCAGGCTGATGAAGAGTGTTCTAGAGGAAAGCCAGGACCAATGAAGGAAATGGAAATAAAAATCTGTGCACTATTTCAGTGAGTTCACAGGGGCTAATATTTAAGCTTCCTTATTTGGCTTACTTTTGAACATGTACCAATACATACTTTTGAACTATTTGATAAATGCATACATGCATTTGGAGCAATGCATGAGGGAGTCATTACCAAGATTTATGGGTTTGATGCTATGTGCTTCTCCCATTTCCAGATGGCATATCCAGAGCACATCCATCACCAGTTTCATATGCTTTTCTGACCTGGAATTTTTTGGAATACATGACTTAGATCCAGCCATGGAGATAAAGAAACTCCCTATCATATATAGCTGATGTTTCAAGGCATACTGAGTTTTAAAGTCCTAATAAAGTGTCACAACAAATACTGTATTTTTTGCTCTATAAGACTCACTTTTTCCCTCCTAAAAAGTAAGGGGAAATGTGTGTGCGTCTTATGGAGCGAATGCAGGCTGCGCAGCTATCCCAGAAGCCAGAACAGCAAGAGGGATTGCTGCTTTCACTGCGTAGCGATCCCTCTTGCTGTTCTGGCTTCTGAGATTCAGAATATTTTTTTTCTTGTTTTCCTCCTCCAAAAACTAGGTGCGTCTTGTGGTCTGGTGCGTCTTATAGAGCGAAAAATACGGTAACCTAAGCCCATCCTAGCATGAAGATCACTTTTTGGGGGTGGGGGGTGGGAGGGTCTCCTACAAGAAAAGCAGCTTTTTTGGGAGCCAGTCGAATCAAACCATATCTGGTTATAATTAGCAAATATCTAACATATTTATTTCCATTTTTGTCCATAGCCGTAGCTCTCATTATTTATTTCAGGATTTATAAACTGACCTTCCTCCAAAAATGGATTTCCGGGTGGGTTACAAAGAAATTTGCAATTGCAAATACGTTATAAATCACAACCAACAAGAGAATAAAAGTAAGGGGAACAAAACCACTCAAACAGCTTTAAAAGCCACATTGCACTTCAGATGCAACAGCTTATTTTTATGCCGCATAAAAAGCTTTAATTTTACAAAACCTCTTTTCCGCTCTTCATCTATCGACTCTGAGCAGCTGGCATCCAACTGCTTTCATCCCCCAAAAGCCAGGAAAAATATTTATTTGTTTCAGAAATTCACCAGAGACATCCCATCAGCACTTTGAACCACCTCTCCTCTATCGAGTGATGGATAGATGTTATTTAGCTACACTAGCAAACTGCAAAGAAGTTTCAGCAGCTTTGGAATTTGTTTTCAGTAATGCAAAGTATGTTGATGGCCCTCAGCTGCAGCAGATGACAGGCACCCCGGGGTCCTCTTGCAGCACAGTTAGAGCTGGAGGAGAAAAAGAAGAAGAAAAACCTCTGATCAACTTGCTAAGCACATTGTAACAAATCACATCAAAGTGGAGAAACAGCTAAAGCGAAAGAAAATTACTGCTTTAATTTCCTTCATCTCTTGCTTCCTCACAGAACATGATCTATCTCTCGGAGTGCCATCCACAATGGGCTAAAAGAACAATTTAGCGGCGTATAAATAGGGAGTTGCCAAAGTGCCTCTCTCCCAGGAAAGAGAGGAAATTCATTTGTCTGAAATGCAGACTAAAAAAGCTTTATCTTTGTCTTTTCTATGCTTGGTAATGACGACCTATAGAACGGGTGCATCGTTTGCCATGTCTGATTTTTGCCCTTAAAAAAAAAATCACCTTTGGAAAGGTTGTAGTGTGGTTTGCCAAATGTGTGTTGTTGTTGTTTTGTATTTGACCAGATTCTTGGGTGCCCCCTTTGAGTGAAATACTCCTTCATCAGCATCCTTGTGTCTAGCACAACCCCAGTCCAATTAAGTTTGTGCTCCTGATCCATCGCTGCTTTTTTCCTCCAGATGGGGATGGAGACACGGCTTGAGAATGGGAACCAAAAACTGCCATTCCTGCCAATGGAGCCTCTGCTGAGAACAATATGATGGTGCCAATTCTGCTTTCAGCGATGGCTTTGGTAAACATCACAGCTTAACGCAGCCAAACAGATAGGATGTAAGAAGCAAAATACGGTAACACTGGGTGGTGATCTGCTAGATGGAACAATACCTCTCTCCTTCCCCTACATGCTGTTCAGGCAGTTCTCCTGACCCTCCATCAGCCAATTTCATTGGGCTTGTGTGGGGTGCAGAGAGAGCAGGAAATGGGGAAAGGAAGCCCTATTGCACAAGCAGAAGTCCTTGCACAGGGCTTTGAATGTGCCTTAGAGGTATAGTGCATGCATGTCCTCAAACTCTTGTTCTCTGGCAACAGAAACATGGCAGATGCTATCAGGACTTGTGAAATGAGTGGAGAATCTTTTCCCCTTCATTTTCACATCTTTCCCCACTATGTCTTCAGATGTGATGTCAAAAGCCCAAATTCATCTTCGCCATCCTCAGAATCACTAGCTGTTGGAAGAATAAATGAAAACTAGCCATTTAGGCCTATGACTCTAGAGAGCTACACTTGACTCCTAAACCTAGTGTTCGATAGGGCTTTCGTGAAGGTCAGCATAGCAAAGCTCTCCCAGCAATTTAATTTCCTAAAATAAATCTAGCTTGCTCTTTCTCCTTGCTGTAGAACAGGCACCCCCAAACTCGGCCCTCCAGCTGTTTTGGGACTACAGTTCCCATCATCCCTGACCACTGGTCCTGTTAGCTAGGGATGATGGGCGTCGTAGTCCCAAAACAGCTGGAGGGCTGAGTTTGGGGATGCCTGCTGTAGAATGAAAGTGGGAACTGGGAGAATTTAGTCTTAGAGTCATACCCAGCTAACAGACTAATAGGTCTGTTTCAAAATGTTTCAAAGCCTTCCAAGAGCAACACAAGGTCTCCTAAAGAGCAACAAATTAGTTATGGCATGAGCTTTCATAGAATAGAATCCATCAAATTCATCAGAAGCTGGATTGCTCTCTAAAGGATAACAATGTAAAAAACCCATTTGGGATTTTCATTCCCAAATGGGAATGAAAGGCCTCCCCACCCCACCCCACCCAATCTCACAACTACTTAAGGAATTTGAAATTGGAGAAGTCAGTTTTCTTCAATTAAATTTCTATACTGCCCTTCATCCGAGGATCACAGGGTGGCTTGCGATATAAAAATACATAACATAGTAACAAACCAAAGCAATACCCCATAATTTAAAAGACCATAGGCTGCTTAATCAGCCAGACATGGGAGAAAAGAGATGTCTTTGCCTGGTGCCTGAAGATGTGTAACGAAGGCGTCAGGCAAGCCTGCCTGGGAAGAACAGTCCACTAGCGTTACATTAATGATTCAATTCAATAGATTTTTATTGTTTATAGCCAATGACCATCACAATACAATATAAGCACAAATCACACTACTACAGAACAAAAGACATTACATGTATAAGACCAAGACAAATGTACAATGTCCAGAATTTTTAAAAACAATATGCGATCATGTCCTGGGATTGTATGACGGATGAGCAGGGAAATCTACTTAATTTTTTTATTTTTTATTTTAAAATAGCCATTGACACAAATCTAGAGACTTCATAGGCTAAGTGGCAGTGGTAGAGCATGCAGACTAATTTGGGGCCATTAGGGAAAGAGTGCAGGATAATTCATGGGAAGGAAGAATTGCAAGCAGGGTAGATTTAATCTACCTGAAAAGTAATGTTTTGTTGGGAGTGAAAGGGAAAGAAAATGTATTCATGTACACCATGGCATTATAGGAATCAGTGAACTTTAAAATATAGTATACTGCTTCAAGCTGTAAAGGCCACAGATGGAAAGAATTGCTCAATTTCGCAAATCCTTATTTTATGTCTTCTAAATATTATGCCTTAACATTGCCCTTGACAGAGCCACTTTTCACTAGTGAATACAGATTAAATGTAGTTTTGTCTTTTTTAACTATGCAACTTTAAATATTATTTCAGTGAGGCCAACTTAGGAAGGAGCGAGGCAAAAGTTTTGATTTTAAACTTTAGAAGTAACTTGCAGCCTTCAAAACTCTGTGTTTAAAGATCCAAGCAACATCTGAGTAGCATGCTACAATGCAATAATATGCTGAACAATTTAGATAAAATGCAGAATCTAAATTAAAATCTTTCCTAAGATGTTTTTATTCACGTTGTGATACTGAAGTTTCACTTTCTAGAACCTTTGCAAGATGTCAAGGAAGAAATGAGAGATGATATATTTAATGTTCAGTGATAGGGCAGAAATGTTTTGAAGCACACATCAAATCTCCCAGTTATGACAGAGCGCATACCATTGTTAGCCACCTTCGCCTTGGAATTTAACTCATCATTGCTGTTCCAGAATACAGAGCAGCTGGTGAAGTTGGACCAAAATCAATGGGTTTTGAATCCAAGCCCTCTAGTTAGTTTGGGGTGATTGCATGGATTGAACTCTGTGTAGAAACTATTCTCAGTATGATTTCCTTTGAGGATAGTTCCCATTTTCATTCAAGAGAGTTCATATTGCATTTTGTTTCTCTTAGCCAGTTTTGCAAATGAAAGTTACTTCTATCTGTGTTGTGATAGTAAGGAAACTATTTTAAATGTTTCATTTCTGCCTAGGGATGAGCCAGTGACTTGGCTCCATTCCAAAAGCTTTTGCCATGCTAAAGGGATAGATCTGTTCCATACCACCAAAATTCATAGGCCGCTAGAAAATGGTGGAAGCTGGTACACCTACAGCAGAGGCAAGGAACCTGTGGCCCTCCAGTTGTCCTTGGAATCCAAATTTGTCCGCTCCAGCAAGGTTGGTTAATGGTTGGGGATGAAGGATGTTGTAGTTCAACAGTAGCTGCAGGGCCACAGGTTCTCCATGCCTGTCATACAGGAAAATGCAACAAATGGTTTCATCATGTCTTGTGACAGTGGCCCCAGACAGTGCTGAAACCTGTTCAATGTCATCCGATGATGTTTGCGTGCATTTTGAAATATAATAGTGCCATTTTTATCCCGAAGACACACTGTAATAAGTGACCCTTGTTTTTACTCATGAAATTTCTATTTTTGGTTGGCTTCTGAAAGCTTCAAAGGGAGAAGGTGCCATACTAGTCAGTATTAGAAGAAAGAGCTTTTAAAAATTGCTTCTGTTGACAAGCTAATTTCCATTGCATTTTATTTGAGGGTAATAAAAGCAGACAAAAAGCTTCCAGATAAATTGTTGGTGATTTTCTTAATTAGGGAAACTTACCAAATAACCAGTTGTATGCATCCCTTTCCTATTAAGTCTTCCTCCATTACTGCTATGTTGTCTCCATGGGCAAAATAAGATAATTTTCTTTGGAAAGAAAACCGCCATTATAGATTGGTGTTTTTCTCATCTGATAGTTACTTTGATTAAATAACCTTTTCTTCCAGGCTAAATCTGAACCTGGGCTTTTTGCTTCTTCATGAATCCCTGTTATTTCAACTGTTATAACTAAACTGTCAGAAAAAGTATCAAAGCCCACTAATCTCTACTGTTATACATTTGTGGGGTTCCTGGATTGCCCCTCTAATTCCTGGACCACCCTTCTAATTCCTGGGTGCCAAATGCTGAATTTGGTGTCAAAATACAGGCCAAACCCGTTTTCCTATTCAGGAGATTGCCTGGGGAAAGAACCATCAAGTTTAACAAAGACAGAAAGAAGAGCCATTAAGAAGCCAATTAAAAGGTATAGGCTGTGCCAGACAGCAAAGAGGTGGAGCCCCTCTTTTCACTAAAAGTTAGTTAGCAGAGACAAAAGCCAGTAGCAATTGAGTTTAGGATTGCAATGGTGATGATGTGACTTAGGAAAAAGAGGTTTCAGCCTGTAAAACAAGGCATGCTGAATGGGGCAAAGGCTGAGCAACATGTAAGCTGGGAATTTTAATCCAAGGAACCAGCAATGGGAGAAACAGGACCCTCTTGGAGCATAATGATCTGAACCCCTCCATTGTAGGCTTCATCATCATCATAATTTTTAATTTGTATACTGCCTTTCTATCTTACAATACTCAAGGCGGTTTACAAGCTGAAGAAACAAAAAATGTACATCTTATAACAATCTAATGCAATACAAAAATGTGATAATAAAACATAACTTTAAAATAGGCAACCTCCATCAAAAAAGTAACATTCAACAATCATTAGAATAGTATAAAATAATAATATCAACATATACGTATATATGTGTAAATATAGCATATGCCATAAAAACACCACCGTTTCAGCTATGACTCGTTGCCAAATGAAATAGGAACTCTGGGTAAGTGAATGGATCCCTGGGATCTCACACCACTCAGAGATTGGGGTAGTGTGTAGCAATTCAAAATCTTCTACATGCAGGAATGATTATTGTCACTGGATAAAGATATTGTATGAAGGCGTCATGCAGAGAAGATAACAAATCTGCCAACCATTCTGTTAAGTCATAAACCCTGCAGAATGAGTGGATTTAAGCATGGAATTTTGGGCTGCTCCATTTAATAATAATAATAATAATAATAATAATAATAATAATAATAATAGAGAGACTACCTGTCCAACACAGGTATTAGCATATATTTATAAGAGCATGACTGCTAAGCACACATCTCAGGCAAAGGTCTTTCTTCATATAACCTTTATATCACCCCTAGTTATCATTCTAGAGTGATTTCTAGAACACCCTTATATCAAGTTTGAGGAATTGCCCTTAAGTATTCAATAGACTTGTGCACCAGAGAGAGAACAGGGAAACAGACAAATAGCTGTGAAACTTTACATTGGTCTTTTTGTTTGTTTGTTTGTTTGCCATCTTGACATTCCTTTTCCAAAGCTGCAGAACAATCTTAAATGTCTGCCCAGGGGAGATGTTAAAACAAAACGCCAAATTCTGTGCAGCCATTCTTTTTTTACTACAGCCTGTTTTCTCAAAGACCCTTACTCTCACCCTTGAATCCTGTTTCCGTCTTCAACAAAGACAAATGAAGCTTTTCTTGGACAAAGCCAAATTCCGTCAAGACCCAGCATGCAGCTTGTTTGGATGCAGAAAGCTGCAAGAACAAATGAGATTACTCAGTATTAGGGAGGAGCTGATTTCCCCCGGGTCTGTTCCTTTATTGTTCTGTAGATGCACGCCACCCTTCTTCCCTCTTCACTTTAATTCTTGTTTAAGTAGGATAATTTCTAAAATTAATCCCAGAATAAAAGCTTGCAATTTGCTGCTGCTTTCAATTTTTTTAAAAAAGAAGCTAGTTGCATCTTTTCTCACTTCTGGTTACTAGTCATGGTAATTTCTCAAGTGCAAGAGCTCATCATGAGTGTCCCTACTGTAAAAGGTCTAACATGCAGGGAGCTCTGTTGACCCACCCATAATGTTGCTCTTCACCTCCCCAAGCAACAGCATTCCAATTTAATAGGAGCAGCCGACCTTCATAGAATAGACATTTATAGAACAAATTCTACTTGTATAATGTTTAGCCTTCAGAAAAGATCTTCAGCTTGCTGAACTTGAAGACTTTTGATTTTAATTAGAAATGCAATAAATCACGCACAGAGGTTTTGCCATTTAAACTGCCAGCACACCCAGCCTCTGCTTGATTGTTTTCTTCTTTCGCAAACAACTGGAAAACATGGAATTCTTGTTATCATCTCACTCACTTGCTGGAGTGACAGAGGTTCATTAATAATCCTGGTGCAATGGCAGATGCCATCATCACTCGTGCTATGAAAAAAGAAGTATCTGAGATGAAGCTTCAAAAGCAA